CTCACCTGATACAGCACAGGCCCAGAGGACTGCTGCAGGGCGCTCTGGATTCTCTCCCTTTCTTCCTCATAAGGAAGAGCTCCTGTTTTGAGTAGAAGAGGTACCAGCCTTCACTTTTGTTGTTTGCTTGCATTTGCATCACAAACATTAACTTCAGCTGGGTTTTGTCGGAAGAAACCTTGTTAAGTCACATATCCATTTGCGGGGAGAATTCGGCCGTGTAACCCGTAAAGCTACTTAGCTAGGTGCACGTGAGCTGGAACCATCAGAGTAGATACATCAGCATTAGTTCAGTCGTAAAACCGGGTCTGTCTGGGGACACTGAGGTGAGAGAACGGAGCAACAGGGTGAGCTTGTTTGGAGGCTGTAACACGAGTGTCCAACTTCTCTCACTGTGTGGTGTGCAAGGTCTCTCCTAGGGTGGAATGGAGGAGTAGCGCACATCTCCAGGCTGGCTTTGTGTCCCCTGGGCCCTGACCTCCTGGGACCAGCACCTGCATATTCCTTCTTCCTATCTAGGCTGAGATGGGGTGGTGGTTATGCCCTTAGCATGAGGAAGTCTGGAGAGGTCAGCCGGCAGGTGCCAGCATCCACATGATGAGCCCATTCACCTGGGCTGAGGAGAGGAAGAAGAAGCGTTTATGCCCTAGGCCTGAGAAAGTTCAGTGCAGCCACTTTTCTCTAAGGGAAAGAACTCTAACTTTTAAAGTTCCTTTTTGCCATTCCCATTACAAAAGTACCACACGCTATGTTGCTGAAACAACAGAACCTGATCGTCTCAGTTCTGGAGCCTGGAAGACTAAGACAAACGTGTGGACAGGGCTGGTTTCTCTGAGGACTGTGGGGGTTCTGTTCCAGGCCTCTCCCCAGCTTCCAATGGTCTGCTGACAATCTTTGGTTCCTTGGCTTGTAGAAGCATCTGATGTCTACTTTTATCTTCCCATGGTATTCTCCTTGAACATGTGTCTCTGTGTTCTAATTTCCCCTTTTTATTAGGACACCAGTGGCTTTAGGTTAGGGGTCCACCCTTCACTGCAGGCCTTCACTCTAATCTGAGTGACACCTGTGACCTTCTGGGGTACTGTGGGTTAGGACTACCTACGAAGTTTGTAGTGGGCACAAGAACTTAACTCTTGGCTACACTCCAGACCTTCTGATACAAGATCTCAGAGGATGGGAGCTCAGAATTGTGTGTGTTTACAGAGTGTATTTGAACACTTTTTTTTTCTTTTCAGCAATTAAAAAATTGTGTTAACACTTTTCACAAGAATTATCTAGCCTCTTAAAATTTCCAATGCATATGACATAACTTTATACCTGTTGAACATAAATTCATGTTTTTAATAAGAATCCCAGGTGACTCAGGTGTTCAGTAAGGCTTGAGAACCACAGAGCCACCTGAGGTGACACAGATTGTCCCCTCTCTCACCTCAAATATATAGAAATACTGAATAAAAGAAAACTACACATTTGAAGATGGAGCCAAGTTCTAAAGCAATGAAAGAAAAAATTATCACATGCCAAAAACCGAAAAATCAAAATCAAGGAATTGAGCATTGCCTTATACTGGAGCAGCCCAAAGGAACATTAGGCAGGGTACAGAACACTGGGGCTTGGCTGGGGCCCAGGTACCAGTGCCCAGATTCCCAGGAAAAAGATGACAGCCCATCACATGTGCGAAGCAGAGAAGCTGGGATAAACTTTTGCATGAAGTCTAGAGCTTTAAAGAATGGTTTGGTAATGAAAAGGGGCCGAGAAAAATCATCCAAAGTGCTTCTTTTTTTTTTTTTTTTTTGGAA